TTTCATTTATGCGTAAAGTTTTAAAGTTTCTAAGGTCTCAAGCGAAAATTTTATAGTCTTACGAAATAACGTTAAATATGTAGATGATCTAACAAAATGTAACTTCTAAAATTTCTTAATAATAGTACTAAAACAAACTAAAAATTAAAAAATATCATCATTTTATCATGTCGCTTAAAAAATCTTGAATCATTCAATAGCCTATTTATTTACCAAAACTAAAGGAAAGCTAAGAAAACTGTGAGCAAAAGCTAGTAGAAGATAATCGTTGACTGAATCAGTTCCTAACATTAGTCATTTCATACATCCAGTGATTTGGTCGTATTATGATATATACGTTAATATCCCTGACCATTACATGATAAATGTGCCACATTAGTTTTTCATGGCTGCCTCGAAATAATTTTCGAAGGACACAAAATAGAGACAGAGGACGAGCGGTGAATCGTGGCAGATTTATGAGAGGATATTTCATCGGACCTCCCGCGAACACCCGACCCCCTAAGGCCGACCGCATACTTTTTGCATTCATGCGGTATCGATCTGTCACTCCAGGCTGATGGCCTTTTGATTGGGTAATTCTTGCTTTGATGTCATAATTAGAACTGTGACGGAATATATTAGAATTAGATTAGTCTGGTAAACGTTCAAGTCAAGCTTCTGTTACTATGCCTTGAGCGTTGTTCAACACATTCAAATAGAATTTATAGGTATTTATATATATATATATATATATAAGGAAGTGGTTCAAATTGATTTAGAATCTGAAAAATTGTGAACTAATATGACTAATTAAATTAAACAGGAGTCAAACCTGTATACACTAGTTCAAATTAGCAATAATATATTTTGCTCTCATTCCAAAATGATGGAACAAAAGTAATTTTAGTTGAAAAGTTTTTATCAAAACTCTTAAAATTCATAAAGATACGAGTACTTTGTGGTACATTCACTATGTAGCTTTATTTCACCTGTAGACATTATTATACCTATATCCGGCAAATGGGTGCGCCATACAAAATTGCGACCTATAAGAGTTATTACATATTCTATCAAATTGACTGGTACATTAACGATATTTCTGCTCTTTGTAGCGAGGGAACTAACATCCTTACCTGCTTTTACCATTTTTATTGAGAAAAACATGTTGTCTTGCCGATGATGTTTTAGCACTGAGCGAGGAAAAGTTTTCTTTTATATTTAAGTTATTACAATTTCTATATATTATGGTAATATGATAATACTACGCAAATGGATCATATACATAAAAAATAATACTATTATAATAGAAAAAGTTTGTATGTTTGTTGACGCTGAAACTACTGTACGGAAATGAATGAATATAGATAAACTATGGCTTGGAGTAACAAATAGGCAAATGTTAGGCACTTAGGACGCACCCAAAGTCACTATTAAATTAAAAAGCTTTTTACCCCATTTCTTTTCGATTCAATACTTCAACAAAGTATTGCCATTACATATAAAACAACATCTGCTCTGCGATAAATACGAACAATATTAGTATAGTATAAGTAATTTAACATATTTTCATAGCCTATAACACGCCCCAAAGCCATGGGCGTCGATCGCGTGGAAAAAATTGTATTTAATCTCCTTCGTGTGATGCTGTCGACGCTCGTTTTTCGCGTTTTTGCATATAAATGCAATCTCTGGCTGAATTTTGAGCAGAATGTTAAATAAAAACCCCCGCGCAACGATCGGTAGAAAATCCCTGTTATATATCGATATGAAATGTGGAATATGCATGGTGCAGTACGCTTTTGAAATTTCATGTATAATATCCATACTTATGTCTGAAACTGTTATACTGTCTGGTGCATTACAGCGTCAATGCCTATTAACTTGAGGTAGGGTATTCGATTCTTGTGACGAGTTGAGGTAATCCTCTTAGTAATAATATAAAAGGGTAAAGTTTGTTACTTTAGAAGTGGAAGTTTAAATTTAAACTTACTTATCCCAATTTGAAAAAAAAATTCTAATAGAAATGCTTTGCTATCCCGGAGTGATAAGATACTTTTATCCACAGTGGGATATATTATATAAAATTACTGGATCCATGGGGTTATGCCCCCAGCGAAGCGGGGGTGGTCACAGAATGATTAAAGGGTAATACAGTAATAAATCACCGAAAAGTGGCAGAGTACAAAAAAACATAACACAAATAGCTTAAAATTAATCGGATAACTTGTTAAAGAAAATCTTTAATTAACTTTGATAAATTTTCAAAATAATCGAGTAAAACCGCGGCACGTGGCATATATCGTAATGATAAATGAGTTAAGCCGTAGGTATAACTTTAATGAACATTTTCGATTTTCGCGTCCGATTTAAATGTAAAGGCAGCCGTAGCAGTCCTTAATAACTGGATTGATTAATGTGCAGAATTCAATTTTCATGTATAATTACACTCTCGCTTCAAACACCGTGTAATTTTATGTACAAGTAACATTGTACGTTTTTGTGCAAATATTTCATGTTTATTCACGGGCAATTAATTAATTAATAAAGAAGTATTTATTGGTCTGGATATTCGGTTCGCATGGCTTTTTCCTTTCCACTAGATTCATTACTTCGTCAGTCAAATTTACGATCAAATTATATGACACTAGCGGCTCACCTTGCTTCGCTCGGCTTCATCCCTAGGTACGTTTTAACAGTTAATTGGAATAGATAGGACTATACATAATATGATATATAGCCTATAGCCTACATCAATAAACGGGCTATCTAATGCAAAAAGGATTTTTCAAATCGGATTAGCAGTTCCTGAGATTAGTGCGTTCAAACAAACAAACTCTGAAACGACCTTCTAAGGTGTGGAACACCCTTCCAGCATCCGTGTTTCCTGCCACCTATAATTTAAATACCTTCAAGGCAAGAGTGAATAGGCGTTTTCTAGGCAAGCGAGCTCCAATCTAGACCTCATCAGTGCTTCCCAGCGCTGATTGTAGTCAAGCGCAAGCCTATCATACAATTAAAAAAATTCTGCCTCTTTATAATATTAGTATAGATAACCTACATATAATTTTCCCTTTAATATAATTATAATAAAGATGTTTACCTGAATTCTATTCATGTCTATAATAATTGTTTTTGTTGTTTTAAAGACCCACATTCTTTTATTCTACAGTTATTGATAGCAATCTCTTTAAATGAAAGTTTGAAACTGACTTAGGACTAGAGGAGCAAAAAATACGTTCATTTTTATATATTCGATAACGTTAAATCAAACTCTTTAAAGTTAGTCGTAGATGTGTAGACTAAGTTAAATCATCCATTTCGAATCATTATAAACAAATTAATTAACCGAAGTTAAGAAAAACATGTAAGATTTCTTTAATTTCGCCTATCCCTATTAACATTGTCGGATATGCAAATTAGTCATTTTCTTTTTATTTCACTAATCACTCTTAAATAGTCTCTTCTTTTAGTAGCTGCAACAAAAATCAAAATAAATCCGCGAAATAATCCGAAAAGATAGTTTTATTTAATAATGTAAGATTTCTTTAGTTTCATTGCTTAGCCATTCTATTGATATTTTTGTTTATTAAATTTAATAATCTTTAGAAGTGCCTATAAATTATATCTTGACATAGAGAAATTGCAAATAGAGTTTGCAATGAATACGATTTGCATTTTAATGCATATATTTTTTTTATTAATCAGTCTAACTTTTATAAAAATCTATTAATTTTATATGAAAACTAGCGACTCACCCTCGCTCCGCTCGGGTTCGTCCCTGGGGTGTGGTCTGGGAGGACCACCCTTATCCTTATCACTTAGGGGTATGGAAAATAGATAGTAGCCGATTCTCAAACCTACCGAATACGCATATAAAATTTGGTAAAAATCGGTAAAGCCGTTTCGGAGGAGTACGGTAACAAACATTGTGACATGGAAATTTTATATATAAGATGTAATTAACCAAAGAACTGTATAATATACATATAAATTAAAATTATTTTGTACAGCGATGGATAGAGGCGATATTATATGGAAAATAAAGGGAGTACAGGAGTTTTCTGTGTTCTCCGCTATGGTCATAAGTTGAATGGTTTTAAGCAACGGTCGTAATATAAGCTTATTTCAATTGTGATAATATTATTGTCGTTATAATAACACACTATTTACCTCGTTAAGTATAAATAGAACATATTTAATTTTTTTTTAAATAATAGCAAAATAAATTAAAATTATTATTCTTAATTAAGTTTAACTTTTTAAATTACACATAGAACAATGATATAGCTTAAAAAATAATATTTTATTTTTTCTTTATGGTTATAAATAGGTATAATAATGGCAACACTAAATATAAATTACTAATCATTTTTTTTAATTATAATAATAACAGCTAAAATTAAATAAAACCAATTAAAATTATAAAAATGTTTAAAATTAAAAAATATTGTAAGGTACATTTTTTATTTTTTTTGAATTTATTTTATTTGGGGGTAGGCTATCTGTAACAACTGTACAATACCTCGGAAACGTCGGGAACCAAAAATCAAAATAAATCCGTGAAAAATCCAAAAAGGTAGTTTTATTTAAAATGTCAAAAAATCGCGTAATATCTAAGAAAGTATTATAGCACATATTATATATAAAATCACTCCACTCTTTTACGGTGGTTGGACTAGAGACTTAAAACAGACTTATTTACATATTTTATTTCTAATGCAATTCAGCCCTTTTAACATACCACTGTTCAATGCAACAGGAATCGCGTCATAATCCACCTGCTGGCTAAGTGCGGGTTTGCGGATTTCACATGTCTTACTAAACTACTTAGATTCTCTTAAACATGCAGTTTTCCTTACGATGTTTACGTTTATTTTGTGATCATCATATTATAATATATATATATATATATATATATATATATATATATATATATATATATATATATATATATAATCATATTATAATAATCATTAACAAGCCAAATTTTAAGCTTTCATTTGATTTTATCTTTCCAGAGCCTTGAAGAAAGGGAAAAAAGGCACTCAAGTCACAAAGAACAGTTAGCAAGGGAACAGCGTTACCTGCGACGGAGACTAGCACAGTTAAGGGCGAGTAGGGACGTGACCCGTTCCCTAGAAGAGAGCGCGATGACGCACGCGCACGCAACAAGGGCAGACTCGCTGTCGTCCCTCGAGTCCTCATCCGGCGTGTCTACGGCTGAGAGATCGCCTTCATCGGTTTCCGAAAGCGGTAAGTCTATACTATATGTAGTTAAATATTTCTTCTGCTACTTTTTTCTATCTTAAAAACTATGGTGAACTAAGAAATGTGTAAAATTACATATGTATCTAAGCCATGTGTCATGTGTAGACTATAGACATATACGAGTATGAATGGATTAAGTGTTACTTTGCCAGCCGTAACCTAAATATGACGGAAAGGCTCGACAGAGACAAAACGAACGTGCAGTCAGAAGTGTTCTTTACGTGTAAAGTACGATTAATTTGAAGACATATTTATAACATTATTTTTTAAACCTTTTTAAAAAATTACCGAGAATTGACTTAAATGTCCAAAAAACAACACCTACGCCAAGTCTAATTTTGGGGTGGACAGTTCGAGGAATCAGTGGAAATTGTCGTAATAGTCAATCCAGGATCAAATACAATGACAAGTTAATATAGGCAGACCTCACTGACAGACTAAGACACAAAACAATGCCCATATACCGTTACGTGCCTGGTAACTACCCCTGCAAGACGCCCCTGGACGGGGGATGGGGGGTGGATGTGGTACCATTGTACGTATTGTTAGATATCCCTGTATAATGGATGGGCCTCAATTGTTTTACATTACGATGGACACTTATAGGATAATAGTTTCGGAATGAATAATTGCCTAAATAGGGTCTTAGATCAATTATTATTGTTAATAATACTATATAGTTAATACATTTAATATTGCTTAATTATTAATAATTGAAATAATAGTAGCACAACTAATGTGAGAGTTTGTATGGAAGAGAGTATGTTTGTTACTCTTTCAAGATATAACAGTTGTAAGCATTTAAATGAAACGTCACATATAAACTTGTGTTAGAATTGAAAATTGCCAAAAGGTGGCGCTACTACTTTATAATATTATAAAATATATAAAAGGAATCTAAGTACGCACCCGAGTGGAGTGAGGGTAGGTTGCTAGTCTATATATGTAATAAAGTTCTGAATCGAATCTGTACATTATATATATTTTGGAAAATCTTATTGAAATAATCATTATTATCGATACAAAGGCTGAATCTATAGTTGTCTCTCTGTCTGTGTGTGACCGCATCACGGAAAAACCACTGGAGGTATTTTGATGATGGGAGGATTTGGTATGATGATACAACATATAGGAAACTTTTTACTGCGAGAAAATATCTCATCTCTGAGAAATATATACTAAACGTTAAAACGTAACTAGGGACGAACCCGAGCGAAGCGATGGTGAATCTAACCGTTAGTCTTGAATAAAACCGTTGATGAAAGATATTTATAATTGATTACCACGAAACGATGAAATTTAACCATTTTTTCTCTTGCTCTTATCTAAGACGTTTATCTTGCCTCATTTTTCCTCGCACAGTTTTTTATTTAATTCACTAGCTGTCTGCGAGAAAAGCTAAAACCTTTGGAAGTACATTTTATGGAAGATGAAGAAATCGTTTATTTTTCTTATATGAGATTGTCTTTTCCAATTTGGCACAAACTTTTATTGATTGATTAAACACTTGAGCAATAGGTAACGTTTTGTCGCAAAATTGAATCTGTCTGGAAAGTTAGTGACGGCACAACATATATGTAATGGCATGACATGTCATTAGCAAAGTATATTCTGTGCTTGTTTCTATACAAGAGAGAGTAGAGGCAGTGGTAGCCCAGTGGTGACGCACTCGATTGGGAAACCGAGTGAAGCGGGTTCAAATCCCGGGTCTCGCACTTCTGATATTTTCATATACGAATCATTTCTAACATGATTACCACTTGCCTTACGGTGAAGGAAAACATCGTGAGGAAACCTGCATGTCAGAGAGAACCTAGCAAATTTTCGAAAGACATGTGAAGTCCGCCAACCCGCACTTGGCCAGCGTGGTGGACTATGGCCTGATCCCCCTCGTATTAAAGGCAGGCCCGTGCCCAGCAATGGGACGTTAAAAAAAAGGGCTGAATACATTCTATACAAAAACTATCTTAATGATATTTTTTATTCTAGCGATTTACCCTCACTTCGGTCAGGTACCCTACGTACCAATGGCCTATTACAACAGGTTATAATCTATCTGTGGGCTAAATTTCATCCAAATACGCCCAGCCGTTTCAGCGTAAAGGACTAACAAACATACATACACCACTTTTGCATATACATACATATAATAGTCAGAGAGATACAGAGACAAGTAAATTAAGTGCATGTTGTGTTTTATTGTACGTAGCTTTCAGAGTGAGGCTAATTTAATCAACCTATCCAGGGATTTTGTAAATAATTTCACGAACAAATGTAGCGTTTTTTTATTTTTTCGTAAACTTATTACTTCCCGAGTCCCTTGAGGGTTTCCTACATCTAGACATATGTCAACAACAAGTATTATTTGATGTTACTTTGTGCAGACGCTTCACGGCGTTTAAAGTCGACGATCCAGTTCGACATGTGCTGCCGTCGCAATTCTTTCCTTATTAAAAGCTAAATATTTCCTTCCATCTTGTTCTTCTCAAAAATTAAGTTTCTATTGAAATAAGATTTTCGTACATATATACTTTAATTTTCACTTTTTAAAATCGTCATTTTCCAAATAGCATACAAATTTTCGTTTCTGTCTTTATTTTTACTTCCTATATCTATCTATTTATACATGTAATAAAATTCTAACTGAGTCGAATCTGTATACTAAAAAATTTTTTTGGAAAATCTTATTTAAATAGTCATTATTATCGATAAAGAGGCCGAATTCCATAGTTTTTAGAATTTTTATCTGTCTTTCTGTCTGTCTGGGAACGCATCACGAGAAAACCACTGAACAGATTTTGAAGAAATTTGGTATGATGATAGCTGGGTATCCGGGTAAACACATAAAATACTTTTTACTACAGGAAAATATCTCATCTCTAAGAAATCTATACTAAACGTTGAAAACCTAATAAATTTTTACTAGTGGAAAATGTAGCCGCTAAGCCACAGTATCCTTTTTATCTAAGAAAGCTTTTGTGTGAAATAAATTGAAAATGTTTCTATTAAGGTTCTATGTAACAGAGTTACGTTATATCCCTGGAAGGAACCCTTAATCTGTCGGGCGATGAACACAGACGTCTTACACCGCCCTGACCCCACGATTACATTGTTGCCTTTTATTTATGCATCGACTTTCTCAATTTAACTGTCAGCCGCACGGACGGACAGCCCAAAACTTCTATTATATATATAAAAATAGAATATAAACCTTTTTTTGCACATACATATAACAGTCTATACTAAATATAAATAACGTTCTTAGAGGCAAGTTTCTATCTTTAGTTCCTAAATAAATATAAGCCAGGCATAAAATTTAAGCGTCGATCTATTCGGGAAATTCTGAATATAACTCAACAGTGGAAATGTTTAGTGTATCAATGAAAATTCCTTGGGAAATAAATGCCTACCTCTTTATAACAATCCTACTTAAGTCAATTATTTATTAGATAATCTCTAATTTATCGGGCGTAGAACGAAATTAAAGCGCTCTGACCCTATATTGTTGCTTTTTATTTATGCATAAACTTTGGCAATTTATGTCTTGGACTACGTACGGACAGCAAGAAACTTTCGAGTTTCTTTCATATCGGAACCTCCTTTATAGCGCCCATAATCAGTTGTATGGTTGATTTAGTGCCTCATTATTATATTAAATACGATATAAATAGTTTGATGGGCGATAATATTTTTCATTATTATCTTTAGAGCTGTAGCCATATGTTATTATGAGAGGAGCTGTTTGCTATACGATTTTGGTATACAATTATAATATGGTATTGTACAAGAACATATTATGTGAGATATTTAAAATTTATAATTTCAGTAATAGTGATTATTTGATATATATATATATATATATATATATATATATATATATATATATATATATATATATAAATAGGCAAAGATAAAACAGTGCAATGTTTTTTTCTCCTCTGCATGTCAACCGATTTTCTTTTTTTTTTTGTTTAGTATCTACTAGCGACTCACCGTCGCTTCGCTCGGGTTCGTCCCTAGGTACGTTTTAATTATTTTTTTTCAAAATCACTCCAGCCGATTCAAATATTATCCGGAACAAACAAACAGACAGACAAAAATTTAAAAAATTGTGTTTTTCTTATAAGTACCGTATATAATTTTATATGCATTTAGTAAAACGCTGTTATTTTGACATTACAAACAGACACTTTAATTTTATTTATCTGTATAGAGTATAGATTGACGAGCTTTCGTGTTATCAATAGAAAAAAAATTTGTAAACAATTGTGAGGATTACAAGTATGTGCGATTTTCGGTCACTACGCACTTTTATATGTACATATATTTTATTATTTATATTTTCCTTAGATTCCTTAGGTAAAGTATTGAAATTTCATCTCACTTTACTCAGTAAGCATAACCAGATGATCGCGATATACCTAGGGCCGCTTCGACGGTTTTTTCCGTCGGCAGTTTGTATGGTGATGTGGGAGTCGTAAAAATAAATATTTGCATACCAATTTGAACGGGGACTTCAGTTTTTGGACTCTTTTCGTCTTTTCGAAGGATATTGTTTTTGTTTATGTACCAATGTACATTTCTTTCAAATCTTCCTCTTTGACGTTTTTTGTTGTTTATATTCATAAGGGAAAAGGGAGTTTAGCAAATTATTTATAGTACTTACGCACTGGTTAATTATACTACTATTATAAATGCGAAAGTTTGTATGTTTGTATGTTTGTTTGTTACTCCTTCACTCCGAAACGGCTGGACGGATTTAGATGGAATTTAGTACACAGACTATGATACCTGAAGTGGCATATAGACTGTTAGGCACCTTGTCTAAGTCGCTAAGTTTTTATGTAGAAATCGCCTTTTAGAAATGAGGAAATTCTAAATCCAATCATAACGTATTACGTAACTATCACGTCTAGTGCATTCAATTTCGTGAATGTACTGGTAGTTTGCCTAACTGCATTTCCTACTAAATTACCACACACCGT